AGAACGACGAAACTTTGGAGTCAGTGCCTCATGCAGCTTATGCCATGGGCCTCGGCGAACAAGCACCCTGCCATTTCAAATGAACTCGAGACTGGCCTTATCACTTCTGTTCTTCGAAACACGTGCATCACAGACTTTTTGCGGCAAAAAAAAGTTTGTGTTTTCACTCGCAACTTTTTTTTAAAAGCTGTGTTTCATTTACTATGAACTTCGGAATACAGCGAACAGATGCCGCGTCGCGCTCAGGTTCGTTATAAGCGGGCTCGACTGTACCTTCGTCTTGAGGGTTAGTGGCACATTAACATTCATGATTTGAGAATGCTTGCCGAATGTGATCCACCTCATTCTTACTATTCTAGTTTTTTTTTCACTCTCATGATTGGACTCTGTGGTTACTGCCTGCCTTGGGTATACATATTCCTTTACAACTTCCAGCGTCTGTCCACCTATCGCAAAAATTGTTTTCTGCCGAGACTGTTGCACATTACTTTAGTTTTATGCATATTAATTTTCATACCTACTCTTCCGCTTTTCATGTCCAGTTTAGTAATCATGAGCTGCAATTCGTCTCCTGCGTTGCTCATCAAGGCAGTGTGATCAGCGAATCGCAGGTTACTAATATACTCTCCCTTAACTCTCATCCCTAACTCTTCCCAATCTATGACCCCGAATACCTCCTGTAAACACGCGGTGAATAGCATCGGAGAGATCATGTCTCCTTACCTTACACCCTTCTTTATTGGGATTCTGTCCCTTTCTTTACGGAGATCTATGGTGGCTGTGGATCCGCTGTAGATTTCTTCCAGAATGTTTATGTAGTGTTCATTGATGCCCTGGTTCCGTAGTGCCTACATCACTACTGAAGTCTCGACTGAGTCAAACGCCTTCTAGTAATCTATGAAGGGTATGTGTAGGGGTTGGTTGTATTCCGTGCATTTCTCTATTGCCTGATTGATAGTATGGATGTGGTCAATTGTTGAGTAGCCTGTTCAAAATCCTGCTTGTTCCTTTGGTTGATTGAATTCTAATGTTTTCTTTACTCTGTTAGCAATTACCTTTGTAAATAGCTTGTACACTACAGAGAGCAAGCTGATCGGCCTGTAATTTTTCAAGTCCTTGTCATCTCCTTTCTTATGTATTAAGATAATGTTAGCATTCTTCCAAGACTCTGGTACCCTTCCCGTCAGGAGACACCTCGTAAACAGGGTGGCTAGTTTTTCTAACACAATCTGTCCTCCATCTTTCAGCAGATCTGATGTTACCTGATCCTCACCAGCAGCTTTGCCTTTTTGCATGCTCTCCAAAGCTTTTCTGACTTCTTCTATCATTACTGGTGGGGTGTCGTCTGGGTTACTGCTAGTTCTTATAGTATTAAAGTCGTGGTTGTCTTGGCTACTGTACAGATCTCTGTAAAACTTTTCCGCTATTTTAACTATCCTATCCATATTGGTAGTTATTTTGCCTTCTTTGTCCCTTAGTGCATACATCCTACTTTTGCCTATCCCAAGTTTCCTCTTCACTGCTTTGAAGCTTCCTCCGTTTTTCAGAGCGTGTTCAATTCTCTCCATGTTATACCTTCTTACATCGCATACTTTACGTCTATTAATCAACTTCGAAAGCTCTGCCAGTTCTATTTCGTCTGTTGTACTTGACACTTTCATGGTTTGACGCTTCTTAATTAGGTTCTTCGTTTCCTGGGAAAGCTTGTCAGTGTCCTGTCTAACTACCCTGCCTCCAACTTCCACAGCACACTCCGTAATGATACTCGTCAGATTATCATTCATTGTATCTACGCTAAGGTTGGTTTCCTCACTAAGAGCCGAGTACCTGTTCTGCAGCGATACTCTGAATTCCTGTACTTTCCCTCTAAGTGCTAGCTCATTGATTGGCTTCTTGCGTATCAGTTTCTGTCGTTCCTTCTTCAAGTCTAGGCGAATTTGAGACCGTACCATTCTATGGTCACTGCATCGTATCTTGCCAACCACTTCCACATCCTGCACGATTCCTGGGTGTGCGGTCATTATAAAGTCTATTTCGTTCTTATTTTCACCATTAGGGCTCCTCCATGTCCACTTGCGGTTTTCTTGTTTTCGGTAGAAGGTATTCAAATTCCGCAAATTATTGCGTTCTGCGAATTCTACTAGTAGCTCTCCTCTGGCGTTTCTAGTGCCGATGCCATAATCTCCTACTGCCTGGTCTCCAGCCTGCTTCTTCCCTACCTTTGCATTAAAGTCGCCCATCACTATAGTATACTGTGTTTTTACCTTACTCATTGCCGATTCCACGTCTTCAGAGAAGCTTTCCACTGAAGCGTCATCATGGCTGGATGTAGGCGCGTAAGCCTGTACCACCTTCATCTTGTATCTTTTATTCAGTTGAATTACAATACCTACCACCCTTTCATTAATGCTATAATATTCCTCTATGTTGCCAGCTATGTTTCTGTGAATTAGGAACCCCACTCCCAGTTCTCTTCTGTCTGCCAAGCCCCGATAGCAAAGGACGTGCCCATTCTGTAGCACCGTATAGGCCTCATCTGTCCTCCTAACCTCACTGAGCCCTATTATATCCCATTTAACACCCTCTAGCTCTTCGAATAGTACAGCTAGACTTCCCTCACTAGATAAGGTTCTAGCGTTAAACGTTGCCAAGTTCAGGTTCCAATGGCGGCCTGTAGTCCAGGGATTCTTAGCACCCTCTGCTGCGTTGCAGATCTGACCGCCGCCGTAGTCAGTTGCTTCGCAGCTGCTGAGGACTGAGGGCCGTGAGTTATTTGGCGTATCCATGTGGGAGGTAGTGGCCAGATACTGCACCAGGGTGGCCAATCCTTCTCTGGTGAGGGAGTGCGTTCCCGGCGGTGGTTACCGGTGAGGCCGCACCTCAGGCCTCTTATTGTAGTTCCATCAACACGCGATTTTTTTTTTTCTTGGTTGGGAACTGCGCGGCACCGGGCTCGAGGTCCAACTGTTGTTGTTTTCACAGATTCACACTGTTTTCCGTTCCTAAAATTTAAAATTTTCGTTTGTAATAGCAGTATTTGTAGCGGTTGAACGCCTAGAGAATGGTACAGTTAGCTAATTGGCCTGTAATTTTTCAAGTCCTTGACGTCTCCTTTCTTTCTTACGGAACAAAATGATGCTGGCGTTCTTCCAAACTTCTGGTACTTTTCCCGTCAGACACTTCGTATATAAGGTGGCCAGTTTTTCTAACACAATTTCTCTGTCGTCTTTCTGGAGGTCCATTGCTACCTTATCCTCCCCAGCAGCTTTGCCTCTTTGCATTCCTTGTAGGGCTTTCTTAGTTCCCCTGTCGTTACTGGTAGGATGTTGAATTCCTCTGGACTATTATTGTTTCTCATGATATTAAGCTGGTTCTTTTGACTTCTGTAGAGCTCTCCGTAGAGCTCCTCCGCCACCTCGACTATCCTAACCATAATTGTTTTGACACTGCCTTCCTTGTTCCTTAATGCATACATCCAATTTTTGCCTATGTACGAGTTTGCTTTCGCAGCTTTTAGGCTTCTGCCACTTTTTATAGCTTGCTCAATTCTCTCCATATTATACCTTCCGACGCTATCTTATGTCTATTGATTAACTTTGAAAGCTCCACTAGCTCTATTTTGTTGGTTGCATTTGAGGCTTTCAGGGTTTGTCGTTGCCTAATAAGATTTTTCATCTCCTAGAATAGTTTGGCAGTGTCCTGTCTAGAGACTGTACCTCTGACTTTCATTGCGCACACTTTGATGATACAATTAAGATTATTGTTCATCGTGTCAACACTATTGTCAGTTACCTCGTGTAGTGCCTCGAATCTATTCTAAAGTGAAACTCTGAATTCCTGTACTTTCGCTCTCACTGCTAATTTATTAATTGGCTTCTTGCATATCAGTTTTTGTGTTTGCTTTTCTTAATCTATACTGCAGTGAAACCACCTATAGAGGAAAATTCACTAGCAGTTTAATATTATATGCCTATTTGTTCATTCGAAAAACTTCGGAATTGTGATTAATCTAAATTTTTGTCCCAGTGAATTTGAATGCTGTGATATTCCCTCCAATATTTGAAGTGCTGAAATATTTGCGCATGCCTAAAAAGAAGCTATCTACATGGCTTCTCTAAAAATTCCTTTTGATTCAGCCAAGATGAAGCCAGAGGAGAATTTGCCACTGCTCTATTCGCAGCATTCATTGTGGCAGATGTTGGCTTATGAATGAATGATGGTGCCTTCCCTACCTCACTATAAGAAGGGATCTGCAAAGGTTTCAAAAAAGTCATACTAGCGATTCTGTCTACAATGAACTTGATGCACTGAATATTTGATTACTAAAACACAGCAGACAATTTGCACATCACTGTCCTGGATTTTCCCCATGATCCAAGCTATATTCGGCAAACAACTTATCTAGGCAGTGGAGGAAAGGCTATGGAAGAGACACGTTTTTGTTGCTACACAAGTAGTCTGGCAGCTTGCTGCCAATTCAGGCTGACGGCACATTAACCCAGCATAGTGGTTGCAGTTAACTTGCTGGGTCTGTTTTGACAGCCACTTTCTGGCACATTTCGAGCATATTGTGGGCACCTGTTATGGGCTTCTTCTCATCTGTACATCGTCACCATCATCATCTGTCTGGCTTTTTGTCCTCGTCTTCAGCAATCACCATCGTGTGTGTGCGTGCTCAGCCTCAGTCTACCTGTTCGCTGCCGAGTCCTTGGGACCAAATAAGTGCTGCCTAAAGACAGACATCATAATACCTTTCTCAAAGATCCAAAGGATGAGTTTTCAGTCGCACACGGTCCAGCTGGCATCAGGGACCCCATGTTTACTATGAGAACATGGCATGCAGAAAATGCAGTGCTGTCCAAGAAATTAAAAGAAAACAAAACATTTGAAAAGTTTAAGTGTGCAATAATTTCATCACGCCAACAGCTTCCCAGACTTGTTTGATTGTTATAATGAAAAAAGGTTTATTTATTCAAGCTAGGCAACTCTGAAAATAGGAAAATTAAAATAGTACTATTCCCTGGCACGCACACAGACAAGCATTTCAGTTCCATAGCTTCCACAGTACTGCCAAAAAAAGTTGTCACCCAGGATCAATAATCGCAAGATTAACACACCTGTGCTTGTCGGGCAGTACAGCAGCCACATCTAGGTAGGTGGCCTGGTGCAGCACCACACACAGGCTGCGCAAGGCCATAGGCTCCAACGAACGGCCTGCAAAGGAATGTTCTTGCGTCACACTCGTTCCAGCTGGGCACCCATTTTATTTTGTACTACCCTCATAGCAGGGTTCTTGCAATGTTTGGCAACAGTGGAAACGCCACCCACCATTCCACTTCACTGCCCACCACTACTTTTAACCAGCCTGGTTCATGGCTTGCTGCTTTTGATAAACCACCCAACCCTCGACTTCCCTGCCCTGGTTCATTACCCACTGCTTTCAATAGACTGCCTACCACTTCAGCTCAGTGTCCTAGTACACCAACCACCGCTTCACCTAACTGGGCTATTTCACCACCACTACTTTCAATGAACCACCAACCGCTCCTCCACTTCAACGTGCTGGTTTACCACCAACCACTTTCTGTAGATTACCGACCCTGTTATTTCAATGTCCTGGTTCACCACCCACTGCTCGGAGTGACCCCTTTAAAATGTGTGCCTGAGGAACCAATAAATAGCCACTTCATGCATGCAATGTCGACGAGCTTGCTGAGAATGATGAAAAGACAGAGTTGATGAATGACTCCTTGGTAGTGATTAGCCCAGCAAGGGGAGAAAAAGGTTATTATTGGGAAGATCACTCTTGATGACATCAAGGACGATGCTGCTAAAGGTTTCGAGGATGCGAGTGAAACACATTGCGAAGATTATTTCTTTCTCCAGCAGCTTTTTCATCAACTACGAGACACAGCAGCCAAGTGCAGGACATAAACACGCGCCGTCGATCATGCAGGCAAGACCGTCGGTAGCCTCAAAATTTTTCAAAACATGAATGGCGACGTACGGCCGTACCATTAATAGCGTAATAAGCTGACCGAATTAAAACTTGACAGGCGTTTAACAGCCGTGACGAACATCCTGCAGGATCTACGGAAAAAAGCGAGCCCTGATGCTAGCGACGCTGCGGCAAACAAATATGTCTTGTGTGCAGTCTGTCTAGGCAATTTGCCCGAGACTGTTCAGTTCAACTGCAAGAAACAGCAAAAATTCTAACTGAATGCGGAAATGACATCCGTGGTAGCCACTGCCAATGAGCGCCGTTGCAGACAACATGGGCACCCCCCCCCCCTCCCTCGCGCCCTCTCCAGCATACGGTTTTCAAACACCCGTCCCAGTTACAGCTCAACTAGCCGCCAACAGGGACCATCACCAGTTGAATTGGAAGCTGCTGGTCCCAGTTATGTCCTAACTGGAAGTGCAACATGTTCTGGTTGTACACTTCTTCACAGTGAAAGAAGAAAAAAGTAGAAGTCGAATGTGTATGACATATATTTGTTGCACTTGAACAAATTATCCAAAAGTTGCTGTTTTTTCTGTCTATATACACGCGGAAGTGTACCGGTCGGACCAGCAGCCTAGTAAGATATGTAGAACGATAAGAAAATGAGTGTGTCATGATTTGCAAATATATTAACTTATTTTTTCCTCATCCTCTGTGCTTTGTTTTAATCTCACTGATTCGATTAAAATAATATCGCGGAATACTGAGTTGCACAAGCGCACAAACACATTGCATTCAAATGTAGTCTGAGCTGTTGCCAATATTTTAAATCCATTGCGATGGCAATGCGCAGGCGAAAACGTTCCAATTGACGTCAGGCTGTAATATTGCCGAATTATCTCGCAGGAAGCATGCCTGCTTGACAGCCTTGTGTGCTGCACAGGCGCATTACTTACGAACAACAAAGAAAGAGTGCCGAGCCTGTAGCTACCACGGCCGAGACTGTCGATATTTTATGAAGCTGCAAACTCCAATGCTACGTGTATCGTACGCCACCACAAACGGTTGTAACACAAACATCTACCACTCTCTCCCGCTTCCTCTCTCACGCTCTACCTGAATGGCCGGCAGCCGTCACTGTAGATGCATATCTAATCTTATGCTCAAATACTGCAGACATAATTTGGACATGATTATAAAATAGACTGAAATAATTTTTAAGGGCAGATTCCGCAATTTTGAATGACAGAAGCTCACAGGCAGAAAAATTCTTAAGACAGCAGCGAGCATTTCGTACACCACATGTGACGAGGGCTACAGATAGGCACGGAAGCGCGGCGCAGGTGTGTTGTTTTAGAGGAGGAACAAGGAGCCATGGCACGCATAATTGAGATGTTTTGATTAGAGCTCAACTGTTTCACATCTGGAAGACTTTACGACTTCAGGCGATCGTCAGACAAGTGTTTTTGCCTGTGACAAGATGAATATGTGGATTCATCATGGTCGAAATGTCGCGCTGGCTGCCTTGTCCGCAATTAAGCCGTTTGAAGGTAATTAATCTCTCCTGCTTTGAGTAAGCGAAGATGTAGATATAATATAATGCAACACAGAGTGTTTTGAGAGTGTAGATGATCGAATGTTGCCTTGTGAACAATGCTTTAGACACTGCAGATCCGCTGCCATTTGTTTTGGAGCGCCGTAATTAAATGAGTGTCGATCACGCAATACTTGTGTTCAACAGCATGCTAAATAACTACTAAGTATACTAGAGCAGACTCGTAGCTCTATCCAAGGTACTATAAAAGGGCACGTATTTGCTTGGTGATTAAATATCCCCAAACCTGTTGTTTTTGTGTGAGCTTCAACTTTACTGCCCAATGCTTTTCTTTCCCTTTTTTTTTTTTTTCGCCGTGGTGGAGATAAGTTCGACCGTTTGAAAATCAGAATCAACCAAAGCATGGTCTCTACAGATAGTGTTAAGTTAATGTACTGTGACATGAGAACTCTCGAGGAAATTAAAATTTAGAATTGCACGTGACACGAGTGAATTGTGTTAATAAATGAAGTGACAGATTGTAAAATATCTGCGGTGTATCTGTACCTTTTACTGATATGTACCATTAAAGGTGCACCTATCAATTCACAGAACCTCACTAATGATTGCTTCATAAAAATATCTCACAATGGTAGAGTCATCAATTGGTTCAGTCACGTATTAAGAGGTGCAAATTAAGAGCGACTGTTTCTGCTTACAAGAGCTGTCCGTAATTGCAACTATAGTACTTGTGTTTTGGTTGAAAGCAATATCAGCTTTACTTTGGGATATACTGCACGATTTTCTAATAAGCCAATACTAGTTGGGTGTTGATAAAGTTTAATTTCTAGTAGTATTGCATGTGTAAAGTAGTAATGACAGTTTTGCTAACAGTGTGTCACAGAACGAGCGCTAAACAATAGCGCGCCGCCAAATCCTTGCGACAACGGGCGGCAGAAACGCCGCGAGGTAAAAAGAAAAAAAAGAAAGCAAACATCCAAGGCTCCCAGGCGTGCGCTCTCCCGGCAGAAGCACGGCTTCGCAGACGATCCTCCTCACCCCACATCGGCGGCCCAGCAAGGCCGCGATTTTTCTAGAACGAAGGAGGCGGGGTCAGACCGAGTGAATCATCCTCCGGAGAGGGCAGTCGAACCGTCTCGTGCCTCTCCCCAGCCTTCGCTGCGCGTCGCGCCGACGAAATGACGAGAAATTTCTGGAAAGTCGCGCGCAAGGTATTTAACCGAGCAGCCGAGACGAGAACAGGAGAAGACGGAAAGTTAGCGCCGGAGCGCGTAGGGATTCCGCCGTGGAGTCGGCGAAGGTTCTGCCCGTAGTGACAGAACAGGAGGAGACGGAAGTGAGCACCAGAGTGCGTAGAGATTCCGCCGTGTAGTCGGCGAAGTTTTTGGTCCGTAGGGACGGCTCGAGCTACAGGCAAGAGCGTGGGTTTACCGCTATCGAGCGAAGACGCGGGCAACAGCTGCGTGTGTGAAGCCGACGGATTTCCGGCGAAGAAGACGTTGAAGTTTGAAGAGTGGCCAATTGAAGACGGGAGGTTTCCTGGAAGAGAAACTTCGAGGGCGCGGAACGACAACAACGCTGGACTTTGAGTGAGTGATTCTCGGAAGAGTATCATTCAGACTTTTGTTCCAAGGACTTCGGACTGAATAGGTTTTATATCTCTTTAGTCTTTAAGTGTCTTGGTTGTTCAATGCATGCGACTGCATTGTAGTGCGTATTGTTGTCTGTGTCCGTTGTTTCAAGTGTGGTTGATTGTACTGTGTAGTACGTCGTTTGTTTGGTGACGTATTGTATGTAACTATTGTGGAGTGTGCATTCTTGTGTTTGTTTTCGATCTGCCATTTTTGAGAATATAGTATTTGTTTTGTTTATCAACTCTCGGCTCTGACTTGTTCTTTGGGCCACAACCGGCGTCTGCTGGCGCGCCAAAAAGGACCACTTCTAAATTGTCCACGCTTTCGTGGTGCGGTTCGGGGGGCCAATATTTCGGCCCTTGGAATTAGCCCGGCGATCGCCTCCCTAATTAACGGGACAGGTGTGACACAGTGTAAATATTTCTTTCAGATTGTTCCATACGCACGAGATCTACGGAAGTGCGAGCGTCTGCCGCCTTTCCTAGGAAGCAATCAAAGTGCTTCACAGCCTCTGCACACTCAATCTGCAAAGTTTCTAATAAACAAAGTAATGTTTCAACGCCGAGCTTCCTCGTCTATATGCGCTGCAGGGGTCCACTGGCAACTGGAAACAAATTCCCAGTAGGGACCAGTTGCCAACGGGTCCTTGTTGGAACCCACTGGCAACTGGTGCCCACTGGGAATTGGACCATAAACCACTTGAGCTTGTCCCAGTTGTTCCCAGTTAGAATATTTTCACCTGGATCACCTGTGTCGGGCAGCTGTCCCACCTCACCCTCACGTTTTTTTTTTCTTCATTTTCTTCTTGCTATGCACAACATTTGTTTGTACCGCATGTGCTCCACTTTTGTAACGCTGTCATTTTCTCCCTGGTGAGCTAACCTCCACTGAAAAGTGCGCTCGATCCCTTGCTTCTGATAATTTTTGACAGATGCTTTGTAATGTGTTTTTCATCTCTGAGGACTGCACAATAAGTGGTATGCATATAAATGGAGTTCTATAGGAGGCCAAATGGGAGTCAGACAGCACTGTACTATAGCCGGTCCTGCACTAGTGGTTATGTTATAAATGGTCCGAGCTT